AATTCTTCATTTTTATATTTGAAAATAGACCATAAAATCACCCCTCCAAATTTTGAGATATTTGTGATAGGACTCATAATATAAATAATACTTTGAGTTTTCATCTGAACTATATGAGCATAAGATAACCTTTTGTTGACATAAAGCCCAATAAACACTATAATGGAATAATGGATATAAATAGCATATACTTACCAATTCTCGCAGACCATATGGCTCACAGAAGGTGACGGCATTGCCATGCATGATTGCACCACACTGTTCTCCAGTCTCACAGTTGCTACATTCAACCCTGCGGGAACACAGAACACATTCCCAGTCTGAGAACTAAGTAGTACAAGGCGGTTTTTCTTACTTTGCTCAGGTAAGAAAAGATGTAATAGTTACTGTTATTCAGCTTAAATCACAATTTTGATGAAGGTAATGCTATTTTGTATTATGACAAGGTTAAGAAGAGCTGAAACCAGGAAGACTTGAATGTAAATCCCAATTCTTTCAGTAACTTGTAGTGGTGGGCAAGTTACTTAACTTCCCAAAGTATCAGTTTCCTCACTGTGTAATGAGGGTAACAATACTGACCTAAATCTCACATAGTTACTGTGAGGATTAAATGAGAGAGTATGTAAAACAGAGTACAGAATCTATCTCATATAAGGTACTTAATAATGGAAGATGGTATTATTATTGATAATCATACATAATATATGTTATGCCCAATGCAAGGATGTTTGCAAGTACTAAAAATAAGCAAAGTAATTCCCACTTATACAGTGAAAAACTATCTCTGAAATAAAAAGATGTTTTAAAAATTTTAAACCTTTTTCTTTTGAGTTATGGTCAGTGTAAATGATTAAAATAACTGTTGCCCCCAAAATTTACATGTATAAATACCACCATGCTCAAAATAATTAAATCAAATTATTTTAAAACTACATATTAGTATGAAATATGCACAAATTCTAATTCAAGCAAATTTTGGATACTGAGTTACTGTTAACCTTGCAAGTAATTTAACTAGCTGCTTTCTTTATTATGGTAAAATAAAGTGATTAATAAAAACTTAGAACGGGGTCTCAAAAACAAATTTATTCACATCTAGCTTGTAGAAGTTGAAGGTATATATATTCTGGATTTGACTTTGTATATTTGCGGTAACATTTACACGCTCTGCATTGTGACATATCAACCTACAATCATTACATACTTAAAAGGTAGAAAGAAAGATCTTTGTTTCCCCTGTCTGCACCTCAAATCACATGAGAGCTGTATTTCATGCAGAAAGAACATTTTCAAAGACTTTTACATTCCAGGTGCCAAACATTGTGGAAAGGGTACTATGCCCTTTGTTTTGGAGATCATTGTATTATGCCCGTTTAGCTGTTTGCTAATTTCAGAGAGAGGGAGTCAGAACTCCCATCCAAGTGGGAAGAAGACAAAAATGTGAAGAGACAAGGTAGTCTATAAAGCCAAGAGGCAGAAGCACAGTGAGTAATTAAAAACTTGGCAATAAATGTAAGTATGTTTCTTGTATGAGTATGTTTACTGCATGGAGATAATGATTGATATTATCCTAATCTTTTGAGCTGTGTTCCACACACTGAGACCAACAATTTCAAGAATCTTTCATTTTTAGATAAAAAAACAAAAGAATTTTTGATATGGAATTTAAAATGTTAGTATTTCATAGCATCACAAATCTTACTAGCAGATTTAAATCTCCTCTTGATTACTGTGAAGGATGATTCTAATAAAATGCCCTTGACCTTGGAAGAGACATAGTAATAGCTTCACAAGGATAACAATCCTGTCTCTTGTTCATCATTTATAGCATGTTTATTTATGGTATGTTGCATTCTATAAATATTTGTTGAATGAATAAATGAATATAAGACAACTTTGTTAATACAACTATTATTAAGGTTTGAGGTCTAAAGAACTTAGAATAGTGCTTGGCACATAGTAAGCATGATATAGGTGTTAGCTGTTATTATGATGATGAATTTCTCATGGATTTCCACCATTTTCATCTGCTCCAGAACTGGTATGTTAGGTTTTATTTCTTCCCACATAGAACCTATTATGTGAACTTTTTACTACTATTTTTCTAATTCTTTAAGCTGTGATAAAAGTACAGAGAAGTAGCAAAAAGATTACAGTGTGCTTCTTACTTTAGTGATAGATGAGAATTATTCAGACTCCAAGTCATTGTGAAATGGCTTGAAAGAAACATCAACTTTGACAGGAAAACAATTAAAAATGTTTAAACCTCCCAATGGCTATCTGCCATTTGCCTCCAGAGCCTCTAATCTAAAAGTGTCACTGTTGATGTGAAATCTGAGGCCTGCTGTATGAATTTCTACAGCAATCATTCTATCTATAAATATTGATCAGCAGTACCCAAATTAATACATCAGAAAAACAATATCTACATAAAATATATGTAATATCTATATAAAATATACAAGTATGTATATAAAATATTTGTATTACAGGTCCCCTCCTCCCATAGTTTTGATTAAATAGGATTTAGGTGGAACCTGCATATCTGTATATTGTTTAAAGGTGATTCTGATGCAGATGTCCTAGAGCCTGGAATTAGAGAACCAGTGAATAGATAATAGAGGCTTGATGCGTTTGGAGAATCACATTATTTTGTAGAATAACAGGGGTTCAAGAAACAACAAACACAAGAAAAAACAAACAAATATGGTTCTTCTCCCCATTTGGCTCAATAACCCCTCCAGACTTTCTTCTTCATTGTGCTTTTTATCTCCATAAATTTAAAATAAAATTTAAAAAGGCATTAGTACTCTGTTGAAAAAACTTAAAGATTATAATTATCAGACATTACCCACTAGGTTGCTGCTACTTGGAGGAACAATGGCTTCACCAAGGACTGAGGGGACAAATCTGCCAGCTTCCTGCCAAGGTCTTTTAAATGTCCTTTGCTTGAATTTCTCACAGTCTGACTGGTTTGTCAACATAATTTATTTTAATTTACTCTGAATGTCCATCCCTCTAGGTGGTCCAATCCAACCCTCTCTTAGCTGCCAGTGGTGTTATTGATTCATTCATCATTTATTAATACATTCTTGTACTTAACAAACTTATGTCAAAGACCTACAGACACTGTGCTAAGCTTTAGTGGTACAAAGACCAATAAAGCACTTTCATTTTCTTCCAGGAGCTTACATTCCAGATGGAAAGGCAGAGAAGTAAACAATCACAATAGAGGGTACCAATGCAATGACAGCTATTTATTACATTCTGTTATTGCCAGCCAGATATTCTAATGCCCATCTAAATGTCTCAACCTCTCTCTATGACAGTTATCAGTGTCCTCATTTTACTAATAAGGAAATTGAGCTTCAGAGGGATTAAGCATTTGCTCAAGGTCATACAGCTGTGAAGTTAGAAGAGCTGCAATTTGGACCCAGAGATTGCTAATTCCAACACCCATGACATTTTTCATTGCTCCTTGCTCCTTATAGCAGGACTATGCACTAGTTATGATGGTACTTAACCTAGACTGGGGAGGTAAGGGAAATCTTCCAAAGGTGGTGTCCCCAGAACTGGTTCTGAATGAGGAATAGGAGTTACCGAAGCAAGGAAGAAAGTTGAATATGTGATAGGGCACAGAGAATGCAGAAATTATGATACACAAGCTGAACTGTTAGTTCAGTGGGTCAGTATGGCTGGAACCATACTGGTGCATGCAGAAGGATGACAAAGGATGGGGCTAGAAACTGGGAATCAGTTCACAGAAGGCTTTTTTTTTTTTTGTCTTTTGTCTTTTTCCGTGTCCGGCAACGGATCGCAACCCTCAGTGTTGTCCCCGTACCGGACCGGGGACCAGCAATGGGATCGCAACCCTCGGCGTTGCTCCCGCGCCTCGCTCAGCCAGTGAGCGGGAACCGGTCTGTATGTGGGATCCGAACCCTCGGGCGGGAGCGCCGCCGCGCTTCCCAAGTGGCGCACTATCCAGTGCGCCACTGGGCCGGCCCCCACAGAAGGCTTTTTGAGGTGCTCTATAATGCCTCAATTAATTAATATAAGACCCTCTCCCTCTATTTTTATCCCCATTTAGAACATCATTAAACTGAGATTTAATGATATTATTGTCTAAGGTTACATAGCCAGTAAATTATAGATATGGGATTCAAACTCCTGTTATTCTGTTTCCAAAGTCATACTGCAAATCCAACTAAAAATTAGTCTAGCAGATGATGGATTGGAGGTAGAAAAGATTGGGGGCTATTGATGTAACCCAAGTAAGATACAATAGTGACTTGAAATAAGGTGAGATGAAGAAAAGGTGACACACTCTAGAGTACTACTGCTCAATAAAAATGTAATGTGAGCCACATACATAATTTTCAACTTTCTAATGGCCACATTAAAAATAGAAACAGATAAATTAATTGTAGTAATGTTTTACTTAACTCAATATGTTCAAATTATCTTTTCACATGTAATTAATATAAAATTATTAATAGCATAGTTTATATTCTTTTTTCATACGAAGTCTTCAAACTGTGGGGTGTATTCTACACTTATAGCACATCTCAATTCAGACCAGCCACATTTCAAGAGCTCAACAGCCACACGTGACTAGTATCTACCATATTGGACAGCATGACTCCAGAGAACTACAGGACTTGGAAACTGATGGCTTTCTGGTTATGTTGACAATTGGAGACAAATAGCTGAACTTTCAGAACTTCAGAGAAAGAGGATTGTTTAGGATGTGGTTGAAATTACGGGAGTGCACATTTTTAGGGGTCAAGGAGAGGGGAGGGTATACAAAGTAAGAAGAAAAGAGGTCCAAGAATGGGTCCCTGGGTAACAATCAAATTGCCCTTAGTCTGGTTTCTGAAAAGCTCTAACCATCATCACGACCCTTCAGTGTGTATCAACTCAAGCCATACCCACTTACTTTTCCAAGATTACTGGCAGTGGGGTTTATTTCTATTCATATTCCTAACCAACCTGTGCTGCCCATCAAAGTGACTTTCCTGATAGTGAATCTATAACATGACCTTCCTAATTTTTTTACATCATTAAAGTTAAGCATTGTACAACTACACATATGAAGACTATTATAATAAAGGGAAAGATAAATCCTCATTTCGTCATGAACACAATGATCCTGATGGAGACCAGACAAAACAGTACAAAGAGCAACTGGTGCTCATGGCTTCCCAGAAGAGAAGAGTGATCCATGTCGGAAAGGTAAGGTGAATTTTAAAAACCTACAGATGTAAATAAACATACAAATTCCAAGAAAAGTGTCTCCTGGTTTACCCCAGAATTTAAAACAATACTTCAGTGCCTAAGTGCTCTTTCAGTCCTATCCTCCTCACTTTCTCAGAATGCCCCTATGTTGAACAACTTAACTTGGTTGAATGGAGTTAGGTTTTTAACCCCAAAGGGGGTTTCCTGTGAAACTCCCTAGTAATCTAAAATTCTACTCTTCCTTTATGGAAAAGGTTTATGAGCTCAAGAACTTGGGTTCAATTTGCTGGATGATGAGTGGTCTAATTTTCTTTAGACTCAGAGCAAAAACAAAACAAAATAAAAAATGCTGCTGTTTGTTGCTGACATTGAAATCTGTGGCTTCACAATTAATTTCTTCTCTTTTCTCATCCTCTAAGGAAAAAGATGGGCTTTGTAAAGTGAGGTAACATATTCTTCAGAGATTAGTAGAAAGAAGGAAATTTTAAATAATTCCAGTTAAACAGACTTTTTGTTTTTCAGTTTAAAAAGGAATGTGACCTCCCAGGCTAAGAATTAGAAATGAATTGCATCTCTGCCTCATAGTAAGAGCAATGCCGAATGTTTCTCTAATCTAAGAAAACCTCCCCCTTTTCTTCTATTTTCCAATATAAAAAACAGAATCTAAAAATCTGACAAACACATGGCATATCATATAAATTGCCCACCTCTAAATATATTCTGCCATGAACAATATGATTAAAAGACATTTTAAGGGAAAACGCTAGCAACCCTCAAAGACCACGAAAGCCTGAATTTATTAAACCCTCTCTGAACCTATTTATCACATGATTAGTTTCCGCATGAAGCTTATCTATTACTCAAGTTCACAGATCATCAAGTTAGAGGGGACCTGAAATATCACTGCCTCTCAACACCCCCTCATTTTACAGATGATGAAACTGGACTAGAATTCAGATTCCATGACTCCTAGTCCAATATTCTTCCCAATCCACCCGAATGTCCCCAGTAAAAGAACTCCCGTTCTATCAAAACGTGCATTTCAAAGAATGTTTTTCTTTTTTTACTGTCAAAGTTTATCTTGAAAATCTACAATGATTTTTCTTAAAAATTGTTTTTTCATTTATAGGATAAAAGGACTTTGTTTTGCTAATAAAAATGTACAAAAATAAGAGAAATGATGTGGACTTCATAGAAAACATTAAGAGTGAATTCGCTGGATGAGGTAAACATAAGAATCAGATTCAATACTCCTTTGGCTATATACATCCTTAGATAATTCATCACAAACTATTTTATATGTACACTATTTTTTTTGTTTTTGTTTTTACTAACAAAAACATAAAAGAATCAATAAATTTAAAGGCTGGTACTTGCTGACTAACAAAACTAGAGTCAAACCATAAACATAAAAGAAAAGAAATGCTTTGAATTAAGGTTTTGTTTTTCACTGTAACAAGCTCCTTGGCAGTTTGCAAGCTTGTTATTTTGGTGTCATTTCTCTATTTTTTTTTTTTAATTATTCAGGTAGATGTTTTTGTCTTGGGACAAAGAGTTATATGTGATGTGCATTTGAGCAGTAGAGAGTACACTTCTGAAGGTATAATTAAGCTTTTTATCCTGATTTTAAAATTATCAGCCATGAAAATATGCCCAACCACCAACTCAGTAGGCACAGAGGAACCTGAAGTGACATATCTCTGGAGTCTGGGGTCCCCACATACTTCAGTGACTCAGAAAAGCTTTCAGGATGCAGGAAAGAGGAGGATTAATGAGAAAATTATGGTCCTTTGCACAACTGGAGATTTATGAATGGTTGGTGGTGACATCATCCTGGTAACAATAAATAAATAATTGAAATATTATTTTCTCAAGAGCAGTCTAATGACATGACTCATTCTTCTTTTTAGATCAGAGTGAAATCATGCAGTCTTTAATCAGGCACTCTGCTGAAACAAGTTAATCACTTGGAAACTCACTGACAACCAGTTATCATCAAATTCTCATTTGAGATACATGCCATTTGTCCCCAAGACAGAGGACATCATATTATCTATTCATAATTTATTGCCTCTGAAGGGGTCAGTGTCTGATGCTCAGCCCACAAGAAGCAATCAGGCATTCTATGAGCCTGCATTTCTGAGCCATATTTATCAGCATTTCTGAATGGAGATATTTAAATACTTTTAACAACATTCATTCTAATAAAAAGTTCTTTAAAAATGGGGTGGGGGGGGGAAGAAAAATTTCTTGTAATTTCCTAACCTAAGGATAATGTGTCTCTGCCTCCAGGTACAGATCACAGTGTGTGTGCTGACAAAATTTGACATGTGAGCTTACATAGTGGGGCCAGATGAAGGACTGGTGAATCCACCAAAGTAAACGAGACTCCGCAGGCCATTTTGTAGCTGGGCAGCCAGCAGACTTCTTCAGAGATGCCAGAGCTCCTTGTACCTCCCATTCAAACCTCAACAACCAGAAAACCCAACTTTTGACCATATTTTATAATAAAGAGATTATGTTATACAATAAAGAGGGCATGACTATTTATTTGTAAGCAGTTTACGTGATCATTTTCAAAAAGTGAAAGATCAAGCTTTTAAAAAAATATATTTCAAAAAATCCTGTTCTCTTTGTAAATGTAGAAACAGCAAGGAAAGTTCACCTTATAAAACTGAGAATAATATCACCTTCAACTATGTCTTGCCTTTTTCCTAAGGAGCTAACACATGCTTTAAACGTGAAAATGACAGCCTCCATTTATAGCTCATTCTTTCTCATTACTTCTCACTGAGGAAGGTACGAACACTGTTCTTATTTCACTAGGGAGTTTTAAAATTTACTCTTCTTCGTTAACAGGTACAAGGATAAATGTTATTTGGATAAAAATCACCCCCGTAAAATCCTACTACTGCACACAATATTCTGACCACCTACTATGGTGATTCCGCTACATGCTGCTTAAAGAAATATTTTCTCACTTGTTTCAACTGTACTTGACATTTAATTCCATTGAGTGAGCTCTTGTTTCTGTCATCTAAAACAGAGATGAAAGAAGAAAGTAATAAGCCTCCAGATTCACACCTTATTTTATTAGTGGGACACCTCCTGGTTAACCTTTCTATTGTAGATGAAGCTTCCCCCAGAGCAATTACATCATGGTAAGAAAAGAGAAAGGAAGTTGGAGGAGAGTTTTGTAATGAGAGAAAAGAGTTATTAACAAAAGAGAAGAGAAAGTAAGAAATAGTGGAAAGAGGTGAAGAAATCAAGAGGGAGGAAATCGGAGAAAAAGCAGGGAAAACTGCATATAAGATTAGAATACTAGACTATTAAATTCCAAAAATCAAATTATAATTCCACAACACCAAATACATCGATATACTAGAGATTCTGTCTAGGGTACATCATGAGAGAAAACATTTATTTTGCCTGACGTTTCTCATCTATTCATAATACCCCATAGTCATTTGCTCTTGAAAAAATGTAAAGCTTATGCTCCCCTTCCACCAGCACCGTCTGCCAGCCTTACTGCCCACGGGCCTGCTGGACATTGAGCAAAGTGGATATCCTTTTATACAATTTCTTTGTTATTCGTTCATGAGTCTTATTTCTTTCTGATTTACCTGGAAACTCCACTTCATCATGGTTCTCACACTTGGCTCCTCAATGGTGGAGTCCCCTTTATTTTTGTTATTTAGGGTGGTGGCTCTAAGACACTAATAAACTACAAAGTGGTTTTACTGCTCGCTGGACTTTTTTTTCTTTTATGGGCTAAGCCATCACTGAACAAATCTCCAGCTAGAATAACTCACACCCCCACCCTAAAATTTCAGTATTTTTATATTCTTTGTTCAGACAGAGACAATTATTTTTCTCAGAAGAAATAAACTCTAATAAGCTAAATCACCAATCTTTTTGCTCCATTTCATTTTTTTTTAATTTTTATTTTTATTAGCATATTCATTGTCACAAATCCTACTTATTGTTTGTGCCCCTTATCCAATCTATCCCCTCCCGCCTCCTCCTTTCCCTCCCCCTCCCCCTCTAATAACCATAGATTTGTTCTCTCCATCTGATAGATTAACTGTGCCTCTGTTGGTTTGTTGCCTAGATGGTCCTTCCAGTACTGAGACAGGCATGATCAAGTCCTCCCCTATTATCGTAAATCAGATGCTTCTTCTATTACTCTGGAGCGTGCTTTGTGGAGAGAGAGGACCTCTTCTTTTTTTTGGTTTCCGCTGGTGCCTCTCTTTGTGTCAATGCAGTTGAGAGTCTGGCATGCCATCTGCATGGTGCTGTGACTGCTGCTATAGAGACTAGCCGCTTTTGTGGCAGCCATGGCAATTGTGGTGGCTAAGGTGGGCTACCCGCATGAAAATGGTGTTTTTGGTGTGCTGTTTACCCGGTTGTGGTTGGGTTCAGCTTCTCCTGGCTCCATGCCTCAGGGCACCAGCAGGGGCCCAGGGCAGTGGCAGCAGCTTGCCTAGTGTGGCTAGTTAGCTTGCCTAGTTGTGGCTCCTCATTGCAGCATGGGAGACCAGGGGACTTTCAGTGGCAGCTGGGTCATCGCTTGACTAGATGCAGATGTTAGGGAGGAGTGGCTGAGGCCCTCGCCTTGGCCCACCACCTCCCCATCTCTGGACCCAGGGTTCTTCCTGCAGCGGCTCAGCGGTCGTTGCTGGACTGGTTGTGGATGGATGACAGGGGGCTATGGCTGAAGGTGTCAGCCCCCAACCGCCCCAGATTGGGAGCCCAGGGCATTTCCTGTGGCTGCTCAGTGGTCATTGCTGGGCTGGTTGTAGATGTCAGGGGGACATGGCTGAGGCCCTCAGCCCTCTCCCCACTCCCTGGCTTGGGAACCTGGGGTCTTCTGGTCCTTTTAGGTTTTACAGGTGTTCTTTGGTGGTGTTAGACCTTTACTAGTTAATATCAAACTTTGCCTCTGATCTGTGGGTATTTTTTTTTTCAGTTATGTGTTAGATTATTCACTGTTCCCACCACTTAAACTCTGTGCTGGAACTAATTTGTTGTCCTTTGCTGACTTCTAAAATTGAGGAACTTCCTGTGGGGACCAGCACTTGAGCACTGTAGTTGAGCTAAATTGCTTCATTGCTGCTGATTCCCTGGGGAAGGCTTTTTGTGAAGCTCAGGTTTTAATTGTTGACCTTGTATGTACTTTCGGGTCTCATAAGGTCTGATACACCTGAGTCATGTGGAAACTCTGGTCTGGGCCTGAGTCTTTTCAGCAAAATGCACCCTCTGCAATTCTATATTCCTGACCAGTCTCTACTGAGGGGGCCTGTGCTGACTGAAGGGCAGATCAGCTGTCCATGCTGTGCCCCAGTGTCCCTCCAGTGGGCCTGTCTCCCCCACCACCCGTGCTGCAAACACTTCCCATAGGATGGACCATGCACCAGTCTCTTGCGATGACTCACCAGCTTCTGAGTGGCTCCTTTTTTTCAGTTGTCTGTGGTACCTCATTCCTATGTGGGTCCACAGGAACCCTATTAGTGGTCTTGCTGGCCTGGGTGCCACCAAGGCCCTCTTCTCCCCTGCTGCCTCCAAGCAACTTCATACAAAGGGCACAGCAGTGGCTTTTCCCAGCTCTTCCTCTGTGTGCTCACCAGAGCCAGACTTGAAGCCACTGGGGCTCAAAATGGTGGAAGCTGTCCTTTCTCTCATTGTGGCATAGCTTCTCCCGCCTTCATGAACTCCGTAGGTCTCTCCTCCTCTTCCCCTGAGCTCTAGCAGCCCCCGTTTGGCTGCCATTACTTTTTAATAGCTGTAAATTGGTGGATTTGTGGGAGAGAGTGATGCTGGGGACTGTCTATTCTGCCATGTTGACCAAAGCCCTCTCCATTTCAATATTAATTGCTGCAACATATTAATATTTTTAGAGAATATCGGATGCAGCAGAGTCTGTGATCTCGATTTCCCTGATCCTGTAAAGTGATCATTTACACATAAAAATGAAAATATTCTAGTCTTTTTTGATTCTAGCAATCCTATGCAATGCCAACCATGGCTTTAGTTTCCTTAGCTATAAATTGTGGGACTTTCTGTATCATACACCAATTGATGGGGTCTTCATGTACCAGCGGCTCTGAGACAACTTCATTTGTGTCTTTCTTCTTGATGTCTCATATCCCCACTGGCATCACAACACTCTCATACAAGATGCTCTTTCCGAGGGATAACTCCGGTTATTCTCTGATCTGTGCTGAAAAGGAACGTCTTTGTTATTATTACTGTTCTCTCATTGTGCTGGGGGGAAACATCTGTTGTCATCTAGTTGCCATTAATCATTCCTTTTTTTAACAGTCCTATGTTTCCCACTTGAACATCAGAGACTAGTGATATTGTAGCTCTGGATGCCTTCTGTGATCTTCAGAAAACAAGCATTAAAGGGATAATTTAAGCAAAACAAAGATTCCTCTCTGGCTTTGTAATTGCTTGGAGGGTAAAGACATTTCTTAAGAAAACTTAATATTTTTTAAGAATTCATTCACTTTTCAGTTCCTTTAGAGCATGTGCTCTCTCTCTCAAGTTATGAATCAGAAACATCTCCTTATTATTTCTCACTACTTTTCTTATTGTTGACATTTTTATTGAGGTAACTTTACATGCAGTGAATTACACAGATCTCAAGTTTTAACAAACGTACACATGTATGTAACCAACACCATCTCAAAATATATAACATAATCATCCCTCCAAAAGGTCCTTCTGGCCCCTTCCTAGTCAATTCTCCATCCCAGAAACAACTACTGATCTAATTCTATCACTTTATATAATGTTGCTTATTCTGAATTTCACAGAGTGGAACAAACTCTTTTGAGTCTGGCTTCTTTTATTCAACATGTTTTTGATTTGTCCATGTTGCTGCAACTATCAATAATTCACTCTTTTTTATTGCTGAATAGTATTCCACTGTATGGATGTATCATCATTTATCCATTCTCCTGTTGATGAACAGCTGGGATGGTACCAGTTGTAGGCTTTTAGGTATTGATAGAGCTTGGATGTGCTGTCCCCTCCAAAACTCATGTGGAAATTTGATCCCCAATGTGGCAGTGTTGGAAATTGATTGAGTCATGGGGGCAGATCCCTCATGAATGTATTAATGCTCTCCCTGGGGGAGGGGGGATTAATGAGTGAATTCTTGCTCTATTAGTTCCCACGAGAGCTGGTTGTTTAAAAGACCTGGCACCTCTTTTCTCTCTTTCTTGCTTGCTCTTGCCATGTGATCTGCTTGTACCCACAGGCTGCCTGCCACTCTCCGCTATGAGTAGAAGCAGCCTGAGGCCCGTGCCAGATGCAGCTGTCCCTTTTCCTCATAAATTACCCAGTCTCAGGTATTTCTCTTACAGCAACACAGAAATGGACTAATACAGGTGTGTTTCTCCTTTTTAAAAAAATCAGGATGGCTCACCATTCATATGAAATTCTGGCAGTGTTCATATCATGCTAAA